AAATCTGTCGATGACACCTGTCGATGAAACAATCTGTCGATGAACTGATTTGACCGCCAATGAGTGACGACTGCCAGTAGAATTTCGGGGACATAATTCTGCCGGCTGCCGGGAGACTCGACCCTACCCAAGAATTACCCCGGTTCTTGTTTGTTTTCCAACATTCTGAATTGTATACCAGCTTATTAGTACCTCTTCGAATATTACAGAAAAAAAAATAAAAAAAAAAAGCGATGGCAGCCGAAAAAACTCTGACAGCCCGGTGCACAGTCATGTGGGAGACTGACAGGTGCTCGTCAGTCGCCACCATGCCTTGAAAGCTACCGGTTCCGAAGAACCGGAGCGCGCAGAGAACTTGTTGTTCCACGGTCCGAGGCGGCGAACGAAGCTCGTCGCAGAGTCAACGCACAACGGCTTTCGATAGCCGGTACTGTCGCCGAAAGTTGTCGTCGGGGAGTTGAAAGGCGTCCCCAGTGGTCCCAGTAGCGACGCCGACGGTGGCGGAAGATAAGCTCGGCCGCAGCGCACGGCACCGCCATGTTGACAAAGTTTAACTTCGCCTCGATCCGAAGCGAAGATCTCGAGCTCAAACCACGGCTCTCACAAAGTTCGGAAACGTCACTTTGACGTCAGCGACAACTTCGACAAACGAGGTTTCTTTTTAACACAAACTTCGGAGGGATTTTGAGCGTCAGCAGGTCGCGTAGGGACAATCTGCAAAGCATTAATTTTAGCTTGGCGTAGGGATGTAGGGACAAATGGGCGCTACGTCATCGGCGAAGCCGTTCAATCAGCGGGCTCCTCGCGCCCCTCACGCGCCGCACGCGCGCCTCGATGAACTTTGCTTCGAATGATTGACACCTCGCTCGGCGCGACGTCAGCGTCGCGAGAGTCCAATTAGCGCGTTCCGCAACTTTCGGACACAAAGTTGTGCTTGACGAGTTTAGCGACCCTGGGGTCTTTAAAGGACACATGCAAAGGAAAAAAACATTTTTTTAGACAGCTTAGATGGAAAAGGGATGTCATAAAACGATTTTACAACGAAGAGAAAAAATTTTTAGAGCTATATTTTCGGCGCTATACGAATTTGTAGTTGGCGCTCGCGGGAGCCGCCGCTGGTCACGTGGTAGGCCCGCGCGCCGCCGCCTGCGTCGCCGCCGCACGCTGAGCGTTGTGCGAACGCCGCTTCAACGCGTTTCTCCACGCCGCCGTCGCCGCCGCCGCACAAGTTCGTCTGCTTCGGGGCGCCGCCGCCGTCGTCTGACCGGCGCACAGGTCTATCACGTCTGCTTGCGCTTTTTCAGGAGTTTCCTTTGGGCTCTAAAAGTTACTTATTTATCTTAGTTTTTTGTTATACTTCAAACAAAGATGAATAAGTTACTTTTAGAGGCCATAGGAAGCTTCCGAAAGAACGCAAGCACCACGTGATAAATAAAAACCAGTCACGTGATAAATACGGACCAGCGGGCGCCAACTACAAATTCGTTTTGCGCCGTAAATATAGCTCTAAAATTTTTTTTCTTTGTTGTAAAATCGTTTTATGGCGTCCTTTTTCATCTAAGCCGTTTGAAAAAAATTTTTTTCCTTTGCATGTGTCCTTTAACGCGCACCACGCTGTATAGTGACACACGACCGCACGCCGGTACGATGCTCATTTAGATCGAAACAAGCAGGGGCGGGGATGGGGTGCCTCTATGCCCTTCTGCTTAGGGTGATGCCACCCTTTGTAGTACCCGATGCCGACAACACGTGTTCACTGGTAAAATACAAAAAAAAAATCGACGAAAACAAAATGTCGCCATAGCAGAGTCAGCGCCACAAACGCGTGCAGGGACACTCTCTTTAAAAAGGCTTCTGAACAAAAAATAAGAATAAAAGTGTGGGACAAAATGGCGGAGATGTCTCCACCCTAATCAAAGCGCACATGAAGGCACCCTAGGCGGGGATTGAACCCAAGATCCTGGGTTCTGCAGCGCGAGCTTTCGCTCCATGCGCTCCGAGCTGGTGTGCGCTCGTGGGCTAGACCACTCAGCCACCGATCTTTTTCTTTTTTTTTTTTCTTTTTTTTTGCCGGGATATCTACATTCACAGAATAACATACCAAAAATTGAAAATGCTACGCTTATCGACTGACGTCTAACGCGGCATGTGCCACCGGGGGATTCGGAACGATTTCTCGTACCATTAGGACCTTATCAATGGCGCTTAGCCTTGGTGGAAGCGCGAACGTAGGACCCTGCTCGAGCACCTTCCGGGCTGATGCTGAAAGGGACACATCTCCGATGATCTGGAGTGGCGTGCTTTTGGGTTCGGTCCTAACTCTTCGGGCGAGATGTTGTTTCCAAATGGGGAGAAAACACATTTCCTACAGGTGCTCTGTAGAGGATCTTGCTACGTTCATGTGGAATGAAAAGACGTTGTAGCTTGAGACACTTGACCCTCAGAAAATCATTCAGAATGCGAACTTGCCGCCTAAGTTCGTCCCTTCCATTAAGGCTAAGCGCCATTGATAAGGTTCTAATGGTACGAGAAATCGCATCTAAGGCGCCTCATGAAGCAACCTCATGATTCGGAGCGGTTTTAGAGCGCTTGTTGCTGGTGTCTTCTTGCGCGTGCATGTGCGCTCTCCAAATCCCCAAGAAAATTCCCTAGTGCCACTGAATACTGCGTCAGAGTACCGGATTCCCATTCTTTAATGCTTTGTCGACAACAGTCTCACTCTCACCGAGTATGCCACGGCTCTCCTGAGCCAATAAAGATTACGATTACGATTACGACTATGTTTTGATTTTCTGCGGCGTCATTGGACGGCTGCGATTTTGTGAGACGCGTGACGTCACTATCATCGTCATCTGAAATCGCTGCCATGCACCATCATATTGTGGCCGGCCAGCTTCTGCAGCGCTCGGAGTCGCTTTGTAGGGTAATATGGTCGCTTCTCAGCCACTTGGCGCTGCAGTGGGTGCCGGCGGCGTAGCCTGCCCTCCACTGTTTTGGCGGGGTCGTTCATTGTGTCACACGCGCTTTGCCTTGTCCCACTTTGGCGTCAGAACAATGCAGGTCCAGGTGTACTCATGATCAATTATCAAATTTCCGTGATATTGGGTTTCCCGCATCAATAGTTCTGCCCGAGTGACAATGGTCCCGGCAAAGGGAACGTCGCTGATCTAAAATATGAATATATGATCACGTGCTGCAAGTCTAGTACGAACCCTTCACACAACGTCTTCGATAAAGACAGTTCACTGACCTGGATGGCCCAGTTCACTACTTGAGTGACAAGTCTTGCGACCTCGTTGCTGACATTTATTGCCAATCTTTTATATGTATTCAGTGGGGATTACCCAGGCGTACAGGGTCACAAAAGGTAATGGTACCCATACCGGAATGGCTTGTGCATACCCGACCCAACCTGGGGCCCGTATTTTTCTTTTCCGAAATTTCGCGGCAGTCTTTCTTATTTTCTTTGAACCAAAACAAAGCAGCAACACATTGAGTGTACAAATACGTTGTCCTAGTATCATCAAAACCGAGCTAAATGCAGATGCGCCTCGTTCACAGCAGAGGGATGTACTTGAACTTAGGGTGTATAAGTACCACCCCAAATAGGGTGTAGTAGAAGGAACGAGTGGGGCGACCGGAGTGCTATTTAGGTACCTCCGCATGTGGAAAAAATCGGCTAATCCAAGCCACTTCGCTCGTAGCGCCCTCTCAGACACTACGAGCAAAGCGGTTCGGATTAGCCGGTTTTTATGAAAAACGCGTTACGTTCCAACGCCGAGATCGTTCCACAAGCGGCGGCGCCAAAAAAACACATCGGTCGTCTCCACTGATCTCTATGTCTATTTGCTGGATCGCGTTTGACCAGCTCCTCCTATGGACCGGAATGTGGTCACTGGCGGCCATCTTTAGGTAGAGTTATATCATCTCTAGCCACCATAGTAATATGGCGGACAGCGCAATGGCGGCAGGCTGCCATAAAAATAGCCGTAGATCTAGTACACTGTACCGTGTGTGACATTTCGTGCTTGATTGAAGTTGTTCGACGAAGCAGATTCTTGAAACCCGGCGTGAACGGTAGCCTCATCTTTGAGGACCCGGCAAAAGTTCTACGAAAGCGCAGCACCGGGGGAAAGCAGCGCAGCTCGCATCAAAAGCAGACTCCGTACCATCGTCTGCTTTCGATGCTTCTTTCGATGCGACTTTCGATACGTGCTGTGCTGCTTTTCTCCCGGTGCTGCGATTTCGTGAAACTTTTACCAGGTTCTCAAAAACCGGACTACTGTTCACGCCGGGTTTCAAAAACATGTTTCGTCAAATAATTTTAATCAAGCACGCAATATCACCCACGCTATTTTGACCGCAGCCTGCCAACCCACCTGCCAAAACGCTATCTGCCATGGATGGATGATAGCGGCTGCAGCAGCTTACATTGGCTAGAGGTGATATAACTCTACCTAAAGATGGCCGCCAGTGACCGCATTTGCGGAGCGGGCAAACGCGATCCAGCAATTGTCATAGAGATCAGTGGTCGTCTCACTCAATCGTTTCAAGTACACTCTACGAAGTTGGCGCTGCGATCGAAGTGGCTTGGGTCCACCTGATTGCTTTCCACATTTTGGGGTGCAACTGAAAGCTCGTTCCACTCGTGCCTTCTAGTACACTCTACCCTAACAGCAGGAGGATGGGAAAATAAACTCCAATATGGCGGCTCCAAATGACGTGATGATGATAGCTGACAGAAATTTAAATTGCCGAGATGCTCATTGTATACGTTTCTCATGCACTGCAGCGCCGAAAGATCCTGAGTAGTTACAAAAAATATCAACGATCCCATAACTCACAAAAAACCAGCGAATTTTGTTTCTTTTCTCGTATATGTGGGAGCCTTTCAAATGACGACGAAGTAGAAGACTCGCAGGGTGGCAGGCCAGTCATGCGGTGGCCCTATAAAAATTGTCATGCATAGCATGAGCTGGCCGTGGCCGCGGGGTTCAAGCATGACTGACGACCGAGGCCGTGGCAGCCCGCCCGGTACGGGCGCCGGAACGCAGAAACCAGCGTTGAAAGGCATCATGCTGTCCCGGCAGAAGGACCTGCCCAAGCTGCCGGTGCCGCAACTCAAGGAGACCATGGACAAGCTGCTGCTCAGCCTGGCGCCTATCGTGCCGCCCGAAGAGATGAGGCACACGGTGCAGGTACGCTCTTCCCGGAGCCATTGTAGCCTCACTTTGATTATATACATGGCATGCACGTAAAATCACGCTAGAGTAAGACAGGGCCCCACACCATGTTCGTGGTTGACTTCACACCCCGCGTATGCGCTTATCACGGCGTAGGATGCCACCAACTGCCCAGATGATGCGCTGACATGCACCGCATTTTCAACAAAGACACCTATAGTTTTTTTTTTTGTTTTTTTTTTATGTAAACTTGGAAGAGCGAGCCGAGCTTACAATGATTACATTGAACTAGCACGTGCGAAATATTTTAGCGAATGGTGCGATTGCGCTACGAGCAGAAAGGTAAGATATGCCGCCGACGACGCTTTTATGCGAAACGCAGTCCTGTAGGCAAAACAAGATTGATTAAGTGGTTCAAGGCGTATATAAATCACTGGAATTCTCACAATTACTTCACGATCTGCTTTAGGGGCCGAAATTGAAAGTTCTTACGAGTACTGAACTGTTTCCGATTTTGCGAAGTATTGGTAAACAACGCCAGTATTACCGTGTCACGGACGGCACAAGCTGATACCCGGCCGCAGCGTATGGGCGAGCGTGCGCTCGGGGGCTCCACTGACAGATCTTCGCCTGGCCAAGCGCACGGCTCGACACTATCGCCAGTGCTCGGCAAGTGCCCCGAAGGTGCGCGCTCGAAGCGTGGAAATGGCATGATGAAGCTATATGCAAAAGGGATCCACCTCACGAAAGGGCCAATCCGATCCACAGCCGTGCAGGAGGGGCATAAACAACGTTATAAATGTGCCGTCACTCGCCGCTACAAAATGCGTCCCGCAAGCTCGGAATACTACGGCCGGCTCCTCCGCCACTTACACTTTCTCTAGTTTGAAAACAACTTTGTCGCGGGGCATGTTGATGAATTGATCGCCGGGATACATAGCAATACGGATGAACGCTGCTCTCGCTCCGGATGGCGGTCGACCCAGCCACCATCATGGCGGTTGCCGGTGTTCGACGTCATGTGGCGTGAGTGAAAGTCGTGTATAGGGAGTATCCACTGGCAATCATAGCTGAGTGCGCGACTGCTGAGCACGTGCTGACGACGAGCTTCCACAGTTTTTTCGAAACGTCCATTCCATACCGTCGAGATTAGCCACCTTAGCAGCCTTTTAAAGTGAGCTCGTTTTGAGTATGCACTCTGAACAGTGCCCACAAATATGGCGTCCAGTGAATCCCCCTATAGGTGCGCACACCCTGAAAAACGAGCCGGAAAAATTGGAGCCTGCACATAGAAAGTTAGAACTTTCACCGAATGTGCATTGAGTAATACATGTTTTGTTTTTTTCCTTTTTTTTTTCTTGTGGTGGGGTAGGGGGGAGGGGGGAGGGGGGAGGGGGGAGGGGGGGAGAAATTGAAGGCATTGTGCTCTTTCCGTAAAAAAAAAAGTGAGACCAACAAACTCAGCAAAGCCTCAGCAAAGGACGTGTTCCCAGACGTAACTTATAACGCCATCTTCTGATAGGCGCAGCTATAGAGGACATCAGTGGGCGTCGGCCACTCGCTGCGTCTATTAGGACTTGGCACCACAAGTCACATTCATTGTTAACTCTGTCTTCTGCGGACACCTTCGAAGTTAATTTTTGCGGGTTTGTTGGTCTGATTAATTTACATCAAGAAAACTACGCCTTCGTATTTCGGAAGGTAAAATTGACCAACTTAATGCACATTCGGTGAAAATTTTAATTTTATAGCGCAAGATCCACTACTCATGCTGTAGATCAGCGCCACTATAGGTTAAAAAGCATCTTCCGCCTAGTATTTAAGGACGCCATTAGGATCCTATTGATCATAATTGATTTATTAAATATGAATCCGAAGTGATTGATTAATTAAACTAATCTTTATAAGCTCGAGCATACTGAGTTGTACTTAAGACGCGGTGTTTAACGAGGGAGAAAAGGAGGGTTAAACACAAGAGTCCGGTATAAAATGTTTCGGTATTGCCCTATTACGGTTCCCACCCGTGTCGTCACAACCCCGCTTATCACATACAAACGACGGGCAATGTCGCAGCCAATGTGCGTCCAACGTTCCACCAGTTCTGCCGCTTTTGGCCATAGGTTGGGCTGATAACGTATACCGAGTCCCACCGAGCGGACGCGCCACGAAAAAGGTGCCTGGCGTTCTAGGAAGTTTGTCAACTTAAAGTGCTGGATGGATTTATAAACAAGGGCTCCCAAGCCGGTGCAATAAAGGGCCATGCACGGACTTTTTTTTTTTTTTTTGCTGGTTTTTAATTTGCACCGAACCTGAGCGCACTGAACGTAGTAACTTAATGAAACTTTCCTTTTCTCGAATTTCGCTTTAGTTTAAAAGTTATAGGCAAATTAAAATTACAATAACAAAAAAAAAATAACCTCCTTAATGACGTCCTTGGTTGCTTGAGTGGCCGTGAACTAGAGGAGGGGTAGTGAGCTCAGCGAGAGCTAACGACTGCTGCACTCCGTGTCGACGGCTCGAGAGGGCGCCACTAAAGCATGTTCTGGATAGGCTCAATGAAGCGGGCAGCCAGGGCGGCTCGCATTGCATTTGCTGCGTGATTAAACAATAATTCGGCATGACACTGTATTGGCCACAAACGACAGCAAACCCAAGGTAAACATCAGTTCAGAACGGGAGCCACTTCGCGCTGCCATACCGCCAAACGGCCAAATCGCACGACAAACCTGCTCGCGAAGGCCTTCGTAACGCTCAGAAACGGTCGGATCCTCGACTGCACGGCCGCCGCGTACATCCGGGACATTCCTAAGCTCGCCGCTCGTCGGTGCCTAATCCCACTACCCCTATCTAGTATGCGCCGCCTTTTCCACCGCTTGGTGGCGGGTATGTCGACGGGTCATTTCTTGTTTCCGTACTTTATAAACTGCATTTGTTTCTTTTCTGATCTAAGGGAAGAAGTGGCCGAGTGGGCTAACGCGTCTCAGCTCGGAGCGTGGAGCGAAAGCTTGCGCTGGGAACCTCCTGGGTTCGATCCCCGCCGCCCCCGCCCGTTTCGATCTGGATGAGTTTCGTACCGGCACGCGTTCGTGTGATCACTACTGCGTGATGCACGTTAAAAATCCCAGGTTAGCAGTTGTACCGCACTGGCTAAATTTCTCATCTACAGCTAAGAGACCGATTACCCGTTGAGGCGCATCTCCATCAAGGCTGTATAAACATAATGAGAGAGCCAATTTTTTTTTTTTTCTGATCTAATATACTGAACAAAAACTAATTTTATAAATATTTGAAGCAGTTCGGCCACTTATATTTTGTATGTCGACTAAAGAGAATATTTTAGCGGCTCTGACCAGTAGTGAGCCCAGGACCAAAGACCTCACATTTCGCGCGCTTTCGGCACCTCGGGTCGCCCCCGTAGGTGGAGGAGGTTTCCGCGTCGTCCGGTTAAAATATGACGCACTGATATTTAGTTCCTCTCTCCGTGCCCGCTGACTTGCCCGAACCCCAAGAGACGTGAAAATCGCAAAAAAAAGGTAGACGCTTAAATATGATTGCAGGACAAAAACGGCGGAGTGTCTCCGCCAAAATACACGTTTGCAAGTCCGGTCTTTGGGCACCGCCATCTTCCTCAGTGAGGTGCGCTCTTGGGCGCAGCCATAATCCGATTACAGCGCCTTATAGCAAGGCTTCGTAATTGGATAACGACTCGCCCAGGCGCACCCCAGCCAAGCAAGATGGCAGCGCCCTGAGGCCGGACTTGCAAACGTGTATAGGTTCTCACGGCGCGGCGCGCCGGCGTCATGCGCGTCGCCGGCAGCCACAGCAGACCAATAGACCGTTCCATTAGGGTCATAGCAGAGAGGGTAAAAAGAGAGAAAAAAAATAGCCTCCCCCTCGCACCCGCATATCGTCTGCTCCGCCGAGTGGGCTGTATACTTAGCATCCGGCCGGTGTACAAACTCTCTGTAAAATCGCGTGATTTTGGAAATTTCAAGCGCTGATGGCGCAGATTTTGGTATGCCAATTATCGTGTAATACTATGCTAGACAAAAAGACTAACAGGGTCTAATTGCGCTGTTACCTGCGTGCAAAAAAAAAAAAAAAAAAAAAACTAGGGAAAACTGTGTCAGACTGGCCGGTCTCTCCGGCGAAAAGTAAATCCGGTTGCTGTACCTTTTTTTACTATACAAAGTTCGTACTGCTGTAGGCCTTTAGCGACCATAAGTGGATGTCTGACGCCGTGTTGTTTGAAGACCGGTGGCGTCGCTGCGTTTCCATAGGAGCTAAGACTTTTTTTTTTCTTTACTTTTTCCTCAGGTAAGTTCGCTCTTTGCAAATTTTACACACAAAAAAAAAATGCACCATCTGTGGGCGACGCCGCACAAAGTCGTAGCGCGATAGGTTAAGAAACCGAATTTTGCGGTCGATTTAAATAGTCTGGCCTCTCCTTGAATCACCCTGTAGAAACAGCACGAAACAGAACTTAATTTTTTGAAACCTGACAACTGATCTGGGCTGCTTCGACATGCCATAGGCCAGTTTCTCTCGGCCAAGAGGCGCGAGCATGCCCGTAAGGCTATACTCTGTTTCATACTTAGCGTGCAACGCTGTCAAAGCTGCTGACGCGAACGCGTGGCTTCATCTATGGTTTTGCTTGCGCGAGAACTCGTGCAAATGATCAACGAGATCAAGTCCCACGCTCGCGCCAGTAGCTTTGGCAACGTTGCACGCTAAGTATGAAACAGAGTATAGGGTGCCTACATGTCTGCCTGTCTCAGGGTGAAAACATCTATTGTTGCCCTAAATGTGCCAGCGTGTGACGCTCTCGCGCACTCGGTGCGTGACTTGGGCGATAAAATGGAGTCTATGCATTAGCCAAAGCTACGCGCTCGAGCTAAGTGACACCGGATTGCGTGCACTTCAAAATGCATAAAAAAGCGATTGGGCGGAAAAATGGCTGAGATGTCACCACTCAAGCAAACGCGCGTGTGTATGAATGCACTCTACGTAAGGCT